GAAAGAGAGAGAGACATCAATGTGCGGTTGCTGGGGGCCATGGCCTGCAACCTAGGCATGTGCCCTGACTGGGAATCGAACCTGCAATGCCTGGTTCGCAGCCCGCACTCAATCCACTGAGCTACGCCAGCCAGGGCTCCATCATATTTCTTAGTGTTATAAATGTTACAAAATGCTTTCCTATGCAGTGCCTCATCTGATTCCCAGGATAATTTAGTGGTGCTGTCATATCCAATATATAGATGAGGAAACAAGTGGTTTCTTGGTATTTCAAGAGGTAAAGCACTTGCCCTGCAACTTGTAAGGCAGAGCTAGGAAAACAAGGGGAGGTCAGATGCTGATTCCCAATACTGATACATGCTTAGCCCAGCTCATGCTTAGAAACAGGTTTGTCCCACACTGTCTTTGCCCACACTGCTGAGTTCTTACTGGAATCATTCACTTACAGTAGGAGGAGGGTTAAAGCCCTTTTAAATAATCTACCAGAAATGAATGAACAAACTTGAAATAAACAAGGACAGGGTACCATGGACTGTATGAAGTCCTTTCCATACATCATCTTATTCTGCCAGGGCTAGAGATGATACAATGCTTTTTCTACCATATCTCATTGTCTCCCAGGCTATAGTCTGGTTTGGGTTTACCAAATGTGTATTTGTAATATTTGCTGGTTTACCTTTATTTAACTTATAGCTGCTTTGACTCTAACAGTCTGATGCCACTACACACACACACATTTTAAATGCTAAGTTATAGAGCTGTGCTGTCAGGTATGGCAGCTACTAACCACTCACGACTATTTAAAGTTAAATTTTAATTAATTAAATGTAAAATTCAGTTCTTCAGTAGCTTTAGCTGCATTTCAAGTGTTCAATAGTCACATGTGGCTAGTGGCCAGGACAGTGCAGATTACAGGGTATTTCCATCATCACAGAAAGTTCTGTTGGACAGTGCTGATGATACACAATGTCATCTCCAGGGAGAAAAGACTTTATAAAAAGTCAGAAAGATCTTGAGGCAGACTCAGTGCTGTCATTGTCCAATAATAAAGGTAATTTGGACAAAAATGTTTATAAAAGAAGAGAAAGAGAGAATGCTCTTAGCCAGATGGATCTACCCAGACAAGGGCAGAGGCATTCTTGTAGCCATTCTGTTGTATTTAGCTCTTGAACTCTGTAAGATGCTCCAATAAATTGACATATAGAGGATCTAAGTCCCTGAAGAGGATCTGAGGCAGATGGAAATAGAAATAGAACAAAACATCAATTAGTTACAAACTAAGTTTAATCCCGATTCACTTAAATGATACAATTTATGTACTTAGTAGTTATTTTTCTTTTTGGTATGACATCATTTGCATTATCAAAAAGGAATTAAAATACTTCTTGGGATTTTTAGGTAAATTCACATGGCCACACAAAAACAGGTTAAAAGTACCTTTTCAGTAGTCATGAATCCATCCAAATTGATTATATGTGAATCCAGGAGTCCATATCAAGATTCAAAAAAGGGAAAGAAAACAAAACAAAATTCATGTGTAACCAATGGAGGTAGCTGTTTCACCAAATCCTTATTATGCAAATTGGTAATTAAAGAGAGAGAGAGAGAGAAATATATGTCCTGCTTTCCAGAGGGAAGTGTATCACAGGATAACCAAATAGCCCAGTTGTGAGGAAACTGCCCAGGTTATAAAAAAAAATACTAGCTAAAACATTTAGAAGGAATTAGAGAATTATCAAATCATCACTTGTGAAGCCCCAATGAAATACTTTACTCATGCCAGGATCATTCACAGATGCAGCAGGTAAAGGCTGACAAGGAAACAACTATTCACATGGTACAAAGTTCACCCCACAGGCTACGTGCTGGTCCCCAGGGGGAGATCACAGAAGCTACAGGCAATTGCCCCCACAAGCCCGTAGTCCCCTCAGCATCGCGCATGACAGGTCAGCCAGAGATCGTACTTCCTAATGTGATACAACATGAACATGTGCCATCATCTATAAAATATTCTTGTAAAAAAATGCTAACCCTGAATCTCATTAAACCTTTACAACTCATCTTTAGTTCACCAAAAATAAACAAATAAACAAACAAAACATGAATATAGTGAAAAGTTATATGACATCATCAAGAAATAATCAGAAAATTCCAGAAATGGGGTGGTGGCCTACTCGCTCTGATAAGTAAATTCCATTAACAAAATAAAAATAAAAAGGGAGGCATTGTTTAGGTTAAGAGAGACTTAAGAAAAATAACCAAATGCAATGTGTGTTCCTTGATTAGAAGAAACATTTCAGAATAACTGAGGAAATCTGAATATGAGCTGGGTAATAAATGATACAAAGAAATCACTTTGTATTTTGTTTGGGGTGATAATGACAGTGTAATTGTCAAAGAAAATGTTTTATTTTTTAGAGATCCATACTAAAGAATTTAGAGGTAAAATATCACTTTATTTAATATACTTTAAAGTAGCCCTCAAAGAGATGAAATAAGTATGGAAAAATGTTAACAACTTAGGGTATGGGCATATGAATGTCATTTATTTATTCTCTCCACCTTTCTGAAAGTTTGAAAATTTCATAATTTTGTAATAAATTTTTTAAATTCCAAATTGTACAGGTGTATGTCTGAGAACCTACTTCAAACTTTATGGGATATGCAAACATTAATAATGGAGTTTACCATTTTATAAATTTCAAACTTCTGTTCTCCTCCAGCAGTTACATAGTCAAAGAACTACTATAATTTTCTTGTATAAAATTGCTTTATGAAATTAACTTTTTAAATCACAACAAAGAAATTTCAGATAAAGTGCAGTCCACCCAGTCAGATTCGAGTCAGAGAAAGAAAAGAGAAGAAAAAAGAAAAGAAAGAAAAGAAAAGAGAAAAGAAGAGAAGAAAAAAGAAGAGAAAAGAGGAAAAGAAAAAAAAGAAATTCTAGTTTTCTACTATTTTCTAATCTGTTTATTGAATATTCAATAAAAATCAAAAAAGGCCAAAGCATTTGGAATCAAAGTTCATCATTTCTGAACATAACTCAACAGTCCAAATCAGGAGACAAGGGCATTCCCATCAGTTTGCAATTACTCAAGACCAATTCTGCTTATAGTTATCCAGACCACTTTCCCCAGAAGCCAGTTTTTTAATTATTCACTTTGCTTTAGCAAAAGCACCCAAGAACTGAACAAAAATGAAGAAAAGATTGGTTAAAACTGGCTTATGAAAAATGTTCACCATTGTTTTCACCCATGCCTACCCATCTTAGAAGTAGTACTTTCAGATTAAGAGATGGTACTTCTCTGTGTATTTTAATTTGTCATTCTGCTCTTCTTAACCACTGCTAGGTTAAAGTTGACTATTTTAAGCATATATTAATATATGCTAACTATCTCCTAAAATAAACTCCACTCAAAGTTAATAAAATGTGTTTATCAGAGAAGACCCATCGAAGTAAGAGGCTGAAGAGCCCTCAGGGTCGAGTGTGCCAAGGAACAATAAAGCATAATATTGATTTGCCTGTGCAAATCAACAACTGTATCCTGAGCAGCTTCAAAAACACCCTGAGCCACAGTAAATGTTGGACAGACTATGTTTCCCTCACTCCCTGGAAAAACTGGCTGGGAAGGAGTATGAAAGCTGCTCTGGCTCTCCCCAGCGCACTGCTCTCCATCATTCCACCGCATGGCTCTGTCGGACAAGAGTACGAGACCAACTTGTCAACTTGTCTCCAAACCCCTGATTCAAGCCAGTTTTCACCAATCCCAACTGAGAGTCACAGAGAAATACAAGTCTTGGATCTCCAGCATCATCATCTGCAGGGGTTGGAAATCACAATCCCACCACCCAACTCATCCCCTCGGCCCTGTTCTCCCCAGCTGATTTCAGATATTCTTTTTTTCAAATACCTTTCCCCATCCCTGAAACCTTGAGAAGAGGGAATCATAGGAAACAAACATGAAACATGGACAACCCCAAAGCTTTAAAACACACACACACACACGCGCGCACGCACGCACACACACACACACACACACACACTGAGAAAAAAATGTAAAGTGTTGGGAACAAAAAGGATGGAATCAAAATGCCAGAAAATTGTTTAGTTTCACTTTTTAAAATGTTCACACTCGTTCATATATTTGCAGAGATTTCACTGAAAGAAAAGTTCTGCGTGAAGGGGTCTGACTGCATCAACAAGGCTCAAGTTACTCTTCAAGACAATGTTTCCCACATAGGATTCAGAGGTCCCTGAAGCTAAGTATCCCTCTTGTCAAAGTCCTCGAGAAGCGGCTGGATTGGGGAAGGAGGAAATAGGGGGTACGGGAATACACCAAAAGGAAGGAGGGAGAAGGGGCAACAGCAGCAACAGCGAAAACCAAGGTCTGAGACTTCAGATTGCAAAAGAAGGCTGCAGAGGTCGTGGGAGAATGGAGAGGAAATGAGGATGAACCGCAAAGAGAGAAGCAGCATGAAATGTAGTGAAATGCCAAAGGGTGTCTTGGAGAGAAGCTGGGAATTGCTTTTAAAGAGGGCATTGCAAATCTCATTTCCGACTATTTACAGATTTGTCTCGGGGGAACTGAGAGCCCAGGCTGCATAGCATCAAATTGATCCCTACCCCATTCCTACCCGAATAATATAATCATGAAATAATTCCACTGGGTTCATGAACCAACGATATTAAAAACCTTCACCCATTACACTCGCCAAGTATGTCAGGGATCAACACTGGTGTGTGTTCTGAGTTGATACTACTGTTAAATTTGGCAGACCCAAACTTCAGGGTGGAAGAAGATGACTGCAAATAGGAAATGTCCGGGGAGCACCGAGGAGGGTGCGGAGAGCAGTAGTGGCCAGACGCTGGAAGACCTGGGAGAGCCGCTGCACGGCCAGAGTCCGGGCCCAGGTCCACGGTGGCCGGCGGGCGGGAGAGGGCAAGGGCGGAAAGAGGGGACGGCGGTGCAGCGGCTAGCGAGGGTGCCCAGGTAACTCACCCCGTTGGCCGCAGCCATCTGCACCACGATCTCCGTGGCTGTCCTGCTGAAGTACCTGCCGTCGCTGCCCACCACCATGGTGCATCCCTGGCGGTCGCGCAGGTCGATGGACGACAGCACGCTCTGGATGAAGTTGGGCAGGTAGTTGCGCTGGCCCTCGAAAAGACCGGTGGGCCGCCGCAGCCCGCCACCGCCGGTTGGCCGCTGGTCCTCGTAGGGTGCCGTGGGCACGGTCAGCACCGGGATGGGGCTCCCCTCCATGGCTCCTCCTGGCCGGTCCTGCCGCGGCTCCCGGGAGCCGGAGGGAATCTGCAGCCCGTCGGGGGGGGGCCCCCCCACCAGCCTGGCGGCGCGCCGAACTCCGCCTCGGGCCCCGGCCCCCTCCCCAGCCGGCCCGCGCCCTGCGCCCTCCCGCGGCACAGACCGGTGGATCCTCCCTCTCCGAGCGAGCGGCCCTCGCTGCCCCAGCAAAGTTTGGCCTGTACCTTCCAATAAAGTTTTCTCCCGCCCACTTCTCTCCAGTTGGATCACCCCAGGGGCCCGCAGTTTCTTTCCCCAGCTGGACTCACTTTCGGGGTGTCGTCCCTAAAGCACGTTCCCAGTGCCAGCTACCCCAACCCCTGGAGGCTCCTCCTGTGCCTGGCCCCTTCCTTGCCAACAATCGGCTGTCTCCACGGCCCACCGTCCGCTCGAAAATAATCTGGGGGTGGTGAGACCTGCAGCAGTATTTGGGATCCTCTCCCCTTTCACCGGCAACCCTGTCTCCCAGTCTCCCTGGGAGTGAGCAGTTGACACGCATGAGTTTCTCTCTTGAACAAGGACAAGGGAGGGAGTTGGGAGGGGCCCAAACCTTTTGCCATCAGCAACAGCCCCAGCCAAAAATAACCCTGGAAAGGCGAGCTGAGAATTGTTATCTTCTGCCAGCACTGAAATTGGAGGCTGGGTGCTGCGTGTGTGTCTGTGTGTGTGTACACACCCTCCGCCACTGCCATTTGTTGCAGGGAATCACAGACTGTCAGGCCCTTCAGACCAGCAGGGCCCACCCGGCCATCCACACGTGCCCCGGGGCTCTCTCAAGGCAGCCCACGTTTCCGTGTGGAAACGGTTCTTCTTGCGCTGGTTGTAACAGCAGCAACACAGACCCACACTTCCTTCTTATTCTTGCCCTTCCCACCCTCCCCACCCTCCCCAGCCCAGCTCATGCTTAGAAATAGGCTTGTCCCTCACTGTCTTTGCCCACACTGCTGAGTTCTTACTGGATCATTCACTTACAGTAGGAGGAGGGTTAAAGCCCTTTTTAATAACCTACCAGAAATGAACACACTTCAGATAAACAAGGACAAGGTACCAGGAACTGTATGAAGTCCTTTCCATACATCATCTTATTCTGCCAGGGCAAGAGATGATCTGCCTTGTCTCCTTAAAGTTCACCTGAAACCCAAAACCAAGAAAAACCCCATAGAAAACAGGAGTACAGAGAGAATGGTCTGAAAAGATAAAAACCCAAGAGCCCATTCCCCCAACTTTGTGGTTGAGGGAGTCTTGGCTTAGCACCAACTAGACAGAACCTCAACACTTTTAAGGATCTGTGCATTACCTCTATGGTGTCAGGATTTTAAAATCACTTTCTAATAACATTTCATTTTGCAAGAAAAGACAGTATCATTTCCAGAAGAAGAGAAGGTGGTAAGTCCTTCTCCCCACTAAGGACACAGCCCTCAAGCCTAGAGATGCCCCAAAGACCTCCAAGACTTCATCTCTCCATTTTCAGCACCTGCCGCTGTCATGATGCCACCATCACTCTGTCCTACCAAAGCCAGCTCCTTGCACAGGGCTGAAGACAAGTGAGGCACATCTTGGACAGGACTTGACAGTTTTACCAGCCAAGAGGAAAGCCTCCTCCCTTGGTTCTAATCCCCAAATTCCCAAAGACTCTGACTGGCCCAGCTGAAGGCAATGTGCCCAACTGTCACCAGACCCCGCGGTGAAAGGGAAAAGAATTGCCCCAAAGCTAGGAGGTGCTGTTCTCCAGAGGGAGGAGGAACAGGGGGCCAAATCACAATTGTTCACCGGGTACTTCCCACTTTCCCTGATCAGATCTTTTGAATAATTTTTTTCTCTGAATTTGCATAGCATTTGGTATTACCCATAAAGAATGTTTCATGTGGTGCTGCACCTTTCTATGCATATCTTCTCTCCTCCAGCTGTAGGTGGCCTTGGAATAATCCCTGAACCTCTCCTTACCTCAGTGTCCTCACTGTGAAAGAAGCATTATTATAATCCCTACCGCATAAATTGTTGGGAAGACTAAAGTACTTGGTACTGTGCCTGACAAATGTTAATGTTTACATCATTGTCATCAATGATAATAATGCACTTATCATTATTAATATACAGCAAAAATTACAGTTTATACATTTGTAGATCACCACTGTACATAAAGGGTCTTTGGGCATAGGTGATAATCTATAGGGGTTGGTTGAATTAAGCTGTGCTTTTTGACAAGGGGGAACGCAACATATATAAAGTAATTTTCCCTTGAAACATACAAAGAAAGGTTTATAAACTAAAGAAATCTCTTCCAAGATGCCTCCAAATTTGACCAAGTTTATTAGAATAAATTTGTCACAGTGTTGGAGAAGGAAACCCAAGAGGGCCCCACAGATAAGAAATGCCTTGTCCCTAGTCGCTCGCTGGTAAAACGAGAAGGTCAGATTTGATCAGTGCTTCTCAAAGGGTTTTCCTCAGAACACGAGTGCCTCCCAAGTGCTGCACAAAGCAAGAGTTTCATGGCTAAGTAACTTTTTAAAACCCTGCACACTCTACCCAGTTCTTGGAGCTTCATGATGCACATCTTCATATTAAAAGCTCTGGGAGGTCCTGGAGAAAAGACATCAATTTAACTTTTTTAAAAATTGGCGCTTCCCAACTTAAACTCACACGACCAGCTTGCTTAAGAGACTCAAATTACCTTTGTGACTACAGTGGTAACATCCCCTTTTCCCCTTCATATGTGCTCAGTGGGCTAGGTCAGGTATAAATAAATTTCCCTGCATCTAAAAACTGGTCACCCCTTTGTGCTGAGCTCAGAGCTTCCTTGCAGCCTGAGTCCCAATGAAGGGCAGCTTCGTTTGCCTAGAGATGCCTTTCAGCCCTCTCAGAGCCTCTAGAGAAAGGCATCTCACTAAGAATTCTTGGCATGAAACAGGAGCAACTGATATATCCTCCCTTCCTCTTGGGACTTCCTTGCTCTCCAAAAAAAAAAAAAAAAAAAGGTGTCAGCCAGTGCCTTCATGCAGAGAATACACTAGCTAGCTCAGCCAGATCAGCATTTCCCAAAAAGAGAATTTGGGGTAAAACAAGTATTGAAACACTTCATACTTTATCCCTCCTCTTGTAGATGCACAAAGCACATTAGCATATTAAAGACTGAATGTTCTGGAAGCAAGAAACTTACTTAACTGTAACCCAGAATTTACAAATTTTATTTGACCATGGGGACCTTTTTCAAAACACCTATTAACAGATCAAGGACAATAATATTCTGTGAAACACCTTAGGTCTTTGGGGTCCCTTCCAGCTAAATCATTTTATGATTCCCTTCTTTGAGTTATGAAGCATTAAAAAATTAATTTCTGTCAGGTTTCCACTGAGTGTTACTAGAATTTGCAAAAGGGAGCAGGTAAAATCATCTAATTAAAAATTATGCCCTTGAGTGATTTTGAAACTTAAAACGATTTACATATATATATTTGTACATCATTTTATTCTACATGTTCTGTTCTCCCATTGTCCCCTCCCCCCATCCCCTGGCTGGCAGGGGAGGCTGGCACACATATTTGGCTCGTGGCAGGTATGCATTGCTATTGAGCTGGAGTCTACTTCAGTGTACACAGGGCGTGCTAAAAACATGCTGTTGACTCACTGACTCTCATAGCAGAAGAAAAGCCAAAAGTATAGGACAAGAGCCAGAGAAGCAGGTGGAAAATGTCATGAGGCAGTCAGTCCTCTAAGGAAACACTGGTTCACTTTTTAATCTGTCCAAACACCTTTGGGTGGTGGAGAAAATCAATTCAATTTCTCCCAAAATACATCTTCTACTAAGCCCCAGTTCCCCAGCAAATGAAATGGCATGTAGCAATTCCAACTGCTGCTTCTCTGCATCCTTCATTGTAAGGTCACTAAGTGCTCAAGTGATGGAAAGGTCTTGTCACATGTGTGTCTTGTCAATATTAGCACAATTGCCCCAGTATTCCTACATCTTGCACCTCAAGTATTTGTTTCCCACCTTTGTTAATGACTACATAAGTGGCCTTGGACAAGTTGCTTACCCTCCCTAAAGCTACGTTTCTGCACCTGAAAAATGGACATAATGCTACCTACCTCTTAGGGTTCACGATCATATTCAAAGAGCTAATATGTGGAAATTGCTCAGCACATTGCCTGGAACATAATAAGGGCTTAATAAGAGCTTGCTGCAATTATTTATCACTGTTATTATTATAGTAGTAGTAAAATTATTTCTATTATACTTACTAAAATTATGGTTACCATCTAATAATTATTACTGTAATAGCAATGGTTCTTAATCTTTGTATCAGGTAGTTGTCTTTGGGAACAGGAAGGGACTGTGTCTGAATAACCTTTTCAGAACAATATCTAGCATGACATCACAGGCAAAGTAGGGAACTAGTGTTAAGGACAAAAAATGTTCCTTTTACTGACCCTTAAATCCTTTGTAAGTAACAGTGCAAGAGTCATCGGCCTAACACATGGAAATTCCAGGGTCTCTGGAGTTTGTTTCTGGAGGTGCTGCAGGCCGCCCAGGGACAGTGAAGGGCTGTGCATCAGTCTCCCGAGCTGCACGAGACGCCGCTGGGCAAGGCCGGTGCAGGTGTGGCTTCCTGGCTCCCGCGTGTGCTGGCCCCAACTCTGAAAAGCACTCAGTGTTAAATGATGAACTCGTAAATATTGTGTTTTTAGAAAGCAAATGGTTTCATTTTGATTCAGTGTTACCTAAAAATAATGAGAGTCTGATCTGCCAAGAACGAACACTCCATTTCCAGGTGTCCCCCAAAGTGTCTGGAACCATCAGTGATTCCCAGTGACAGGTTACTAAAAACTTCAGAAAGTCTTATCTAAGTTCTTCACATTTTAAAAGACAAAAATTTTCTAAAGAAATCTCTATACTTTTTTAATAATTGGATTTTGTTAAAGGAACACCGTGTAGATAGTCATTAAAAAGGAGATCTATTTTCCATGTTTCACTTAAATTATATTTCATTAGTCATTTTCAATCATAGCCTCCATGGAATTTTTCTTTGGTGGTTTTACATTTGGGTTTTAGGAGCAAATCCCCAATTGACGGCTAATACTTGAATAAATATTTTAGCATTCCTGTGTAAAATCACTTCTTAAAAGCAATTTTACATCCATCTGTGTCATGGAGCTAAGTCACAAGTATGCTGTACAAGCCAGTAGTCCTGCCTTATGAATAGATTTGTTTTCAGCTGTGAAGTCTGGGGGAAATTGCATGCCTGAGAAGGAAATGTCAGTGCAAAACAGGGCCAGGCAGTTTCGGAGTTGTGAGCACACACCACCCTCAGTCCTCAGCCCAGCCTGGCTCTGGTGGCACTCACCCACTTACCAGGACGCACTCACCACTGCCCCCTACAATTCCATGCCCGGCCTAACCAGTTTTCTCCATGTGTTTCTCCCAGTCTTTCATTCACTCCCTCAGAGCACATCTACAGAGGGCATGCCAATTTGAAAATTAACTCAAGCAAATGC